GAACGGAAAACGTCCTCGTGGATCGCTCCTTTTCTTCGTACAATCATGGTCACTACAGTAATGCATCGTCACCGAAAGCAGGGTAAATTGCAGTCCTGGAATATGTCATTGGGGCTTTAAATTGCACTTGAAACTTATGTTTTAGAAAACTAAGGTCTCTCAGCGACGAGGAGAGAAGACATCTATTTTGTTTTCTCTTTTCCAGCCCGCTTGAGAGAACCTGGCTAAAAGAAACTCAGAAAACGCAGTGTTGGGAGCCAGGAACATCCGCCGACAACACAATAATCTGGACGCTCGTTTGGCAAGGGCCATTATTCATCCTGTGAAGACTGGACTGGACTGGACCTGACCTGTGTCTTTTCCTTTTTGTTTAAGTGAACCTGAAGGTCACAGTTGTGTCTCAGCGCGCCTTGGTGTTTACGCGTGGTTTGTCCTCAACATGGTTAGTGCTCTTTTTCTTAATTATAATGCCGACAGCCCGAAGAAGAAGTTAAGAAGCGCAGGCCATTCAAGAAGTACTTTTACCGTGGAGTCGATCTTGACCAGTTGCTTGATATGGATATGTAGGCGTTTATCATTACCTTATACATACCTTCAGGGAGCAAATAGGAGAATTGATGCCTGCTCGCATCAGAAGGCGCATAAAGCGCGGTTTGCGGAGGAAACACACCGCGCTTCTTAAAAGACTGCGACGCAGCAAGAAGGAATGTCCCTTTGGAGAGAAGCCGAAGGCCGTTAAGACTCATCTGCGGAATATGATCATTCTCCCCGAAATGATCGGATCAGTCGTTGGAGTCTACAACGGGAAGACGTTCAATTCAGTGGAAATCAGACCTGAGATGTTGGGTCATTATTTGGGTGAATTTTCCATCACATACAAGCCTGTCAAACATGGGAAGCCCGGTGTTGGTGCCACCCACAGCTCGCGCTTCATCCCACTGAAGTAAATTGTACATTCAATAAACTTGCGGGATAATTTGGGTTCTTTTTCTCCAACTTTCCAAGAGGCATATTTACCTGTTTTAGGAATACTTAATTGACCTCTCCAGGTGGGGAGTTCAATGGATGTGCTGGTGCGCATTCCAAAATAACGTATTACGTCACAGGTGATCTAGCAAGGTAAACGCAATATTGCGTGACGCAGTTAGCATGGTATGAAATAACCAGGCATGCGTTCAAGTGTTACAGTGACTCTCGTTAGGTATGCACCCTAGTTTTAGCCTGTCCGAGTAGTGTAAACGCTATCAGGAGACGACTGAATATTCTTATTACGAATTGGTGGCATGGTACATTTTGCTCTCCACCGAAATCCAGTCTCGATCTCCGTTTTGCACTGTTCCGACTTCTATTGAGCAGAAGTGTGCTCGGCTGTTCAGCTTTACTGAATAAACAAATGCATCGCTGGATTCGGCTTCAGTTATCCGAGTGTTGAGGATAAGACAACTTCACTGCGCGCTTCCCACTCTGGAATAGAGCAAACAGTTGATCTGGATGTCTAAATGTTTCCTTACTTAGCTGGATTCCTACGCCGCTTTATCGTGTTCAGTGCGCTTGCTCAATTGCTGATCATGTTCATTTTATAATAGGCCTGTTAATGGTTTTCCAGTTTTGGTACGACACGGGCACAGATCTAACCGGCAATCGTAACATTGACGTGAGCAGAAACTTTTGTCTTTCATACCGAACCCTCCTTTGCCCCGTCTTGCAACCTGTAATGGTTCCTCAAAGAACTTGGGTGTCGTTCGAATGTGGTTACCAAATACCACTATAAGTAATCAATCCCAAAACGGATTGCAGCAATTCACGTCAATCCCTGAATCTGGAGGCCTTCACCGTGAGGACTCAGGTGCAAGTAAGTCAGAAGTTCGGTCATGCATTCAAACTCTAAAGCAAGGAAAAGCAGGTCATGAATCCCTCCCATTCTCTGCAAGATAGGGGTGATAACCTCGTAAGCTCGATCATTATTATTATTATTACCTTACCGCACAACATTGGGACGTAAGAGCACTTTCCTTCATCTTGGGGCGAATCATTGATCCTTCCCGTTTTCAAGAAACGATCTCGCAACGTTTGCGAAAACCACCGCGGGATCAGTTTGATCCCGGTCGTCACCAAGGTGCTAGGCTCGGTCATACTTTGTCATCTGACTCCTTTGAGAGATCAATATCCGTGAACAGCAAGCCGGATTCCAGCCTGACCGTCGATGTTTAAATCAAATTTTTACGTTGCGCCAGCTCGAACTGCGTCGTCCGCCGTCGACTGGCAATCGTAGTGTTGCTTGACCTGTAAGGAGCCCTGGACTCAGTTTACTGCGAAGCTCCTTCGAGGATAGATGCCTCAGAAGTACGTTAACCTACTGAGGTCACTGTACTCACATACCTCTGGTTGAGAGAGGGTTTACAACGAACTAAGTAGGCTGTTCGCCACCAGCAGCGCTGTTCATCAAGGGTGCCCTCTTTCACCGTTCCTGTTCCATTTCATCGTAGACGACAGAATGGGCAACCCTGTAGGTGGTCTCCAAAATGTAGGTTTTCCATGAACAGCTGGAGAATAACTGCGATTTGAGGTACGCCGATGACATCGCATGGAAGGCGCGGGAAGCGCACTTGATAGACCAACAAGTGCGGTTGCCTCACTTCGAATGTGCTTTACACTTTCAAAGTGCATGATTTCGCCTACTCCCGCCTTGAAACTAAATGGCCAGGAATTATTTATATTTAATAACTTCGTAGTTGCGCGACCAATGACGGAAGCGTAGCAAAGTAGGTAGCTGTTCGCATTTCCAAGGCTCGAGCTTCATCCTTTACTTAACTGCGGCTGACTCCTGGGAGAGGATAAGCCGGCTTCATGGATATCTCGAATTGCCGGTGCCCATGCTCGGCGATCTGCGGCAAGATCAGCGCAGATTGTGATCCAGCTCGACTTCCATTGGCAAACGCCGTAGACGGAGCGGAGACCACGGTTTTTAGTATCCTTTCGTACCGTGTCAAGCCAGATTTTCAGCTATCCACCTTGCCGACAGCGCCAGTTCGGGCAGGGAGGCGGTGACGAGACAGCTTTTGTTAGGTCATCGGACTTGCGAAGAATGTGGCCAAAACCACTGTAGTCGCCACCGTTGCATTTGCGTTCGCAGCCGTACACGGATTTCTGACCATTTCATTTGAGAGTTGATCCCTCCACCGTACTCCCAGAATGATTCTTCAGCACCGGTGGCCGAGGACGTCTAATCTGTGACAGTCTTCGACTCTGAGTGACTAGGTTTCGCAGCCGTATAGCATGAAAGAACGGAGTGCTGCGGAGAAAACTCAAATTTTTGTCTATAGGCGCCCAAGGGAATTGATCAACTGTAAAGTGCCCTTCTTGCAGCATCGACGCGCATTTGAACCTCGTCTTTAGGATGGCTGTTGAGGAGAATGGTTGAGCCCAAGTATGTGAAGCTTTCGACGGATTTGATCCGCTCGCCGAATAGTAGTAAAGCATTTTCAGGATGAATCGGGACTGTCGCAAAAGTTTTGGTTTTTGATGTGTTCATCTCTAGGTCGATCTCGGAGGCCTGTCGACTGATGCGGTTAAGGACTACTTGGAGGTTAGACATGTCTCCGCCAAAGAAGACAAAATCACCCGCGAATTCTAAATCGATGAGCCATAAGTTCGGAGAGTACTGAACTCCCTAGTATCCTTCCATCGAACGACCCATTATTCTGTTCACAGAATTGGGGACAGTGGGCACCCCTGTCAGCCAGATCCTAACCCGAACGGGCAAGATTCCTCTTCGTAGATGCGGATTCGGGCGCTAGTGTTGGAATAGTAGGATCTCATTAGGTTGACAAGTTTGACTGGGACACCATCGGCCAAAACTATGTTCCAGAGGGATTCGCGATTTGCGGCGTCAAATGCCGCACGAAAATCAATGAGGCCAACTGTTGTAGGTTGTTGAAACTTGTGGCGATGATCAACAGTCGACGTAGAGAGAATATTTGATCGACACAGGCCATACCGGGGCGGAATCTCTTCTGGTTAGGGCGAGTACTTTAGTGCCTTGCTGCAGCAAAAGTTGTGCAAAAACCTTGGCCGCCACGTCAATTAAGCTGATGCCTCTGTGGTTTTCCACACTGATTTGTCACCCTTTTTAGGGAAAGGTGAAATCGACGTGATCCAGTCAGTTGGGCAAATTTCGGTTTTCCGGATTACACAGTAAGCTGTGAAGAGGGTTTTTAATGGCTGAAGAACACGGCGTAGATTTCGGCGGGTATTCTGTCCTCA